TTTCTCCAAGAGGCGATCATGGGACAATATAAAATGTTACAGTTAGTTATTTCTGACTGTTCTAATCTTTATTCTTAGGTTTCCAGCAAAGTAAATTTAAGGAACCTTTATATCAGAGGTGAAATACAAATGGGTTTGATAGTGGTCTGTTTATTCGTATTCCTAACATCAGTTTGTTTGTTTTTTTGCTTAAGTAATAGTTTTGTCATACATTAAACTTTTATGTAAATATAGACTACATTTTAACTGTTTATGATCCTGAACAGGAAATTTAAAAGACTTGTTACAACACCATAAATCCTCTCTTAGAAATGTTATGAGCCTGTGTCTACAGCAGAGCATTAAAATATCCCTTGCCTTTGCTTTTCAAAACTAATAAAAGATACCAGCCCTGACCTTCACTGAGATAGCAGAACTATGTTTAAGCTGATGTAAGTAGAGGCTTAATTAACATAAAAGGGAAAGTTATATTCAATGTTTTAACTGTCATACTTGAAGTGTAGACACTGCATGGGAATTATGAATGCATGCATTTGTAAGCATTGCCTTTCTCTTCAACCGTTGGTAAAGATCAAAAGAACAATCATAAGTAGGGTAAGGATTGCAGGGCAATACTCTGACAATGATTTTTCCTTTCATTTACTTAATATAGCTTTCACATTAGACAGATCATACAAATTCAGTGCTTGTTTCTGATAGTCGGCTCCATAAAGAGAGATAGAGGCTCATCTTGGAAGCAGGCTTGAAGTAACTGAAAAGGCTGCAGGTTTTTTAATACATAAAAATGAATAGAAAATAAATCTTCCATTTGTGTCTTTGGTAGTGGAAATGTGAATGTTTTGAACCACTTAAAGTATTTCTGTACAGTTGAAAGAAAATATTTTACTTCCAGGTCTTCAATTACAACAGTTTTAGGGGGATTTTTTCCCTCAGTAGATAGCAGTGGAAAGTGTGGATAGCAGTTATCCAAACACACCATGCTATTCAGCCACATACAGCAAGTAGGACCAGAATGCATATTCTCCCATGCAAGCCAGAGGGCCAAACAGTACAGACAGATGTTTGGGGAGATTCGGGGGAGGTTAGATCATGTTAAAAATGGCCACCCAATCTAACTTAGTTTGCCCAAGTGCAGACCTTACACTTAGCTCCCTAGTTAGGTTGATCTAAGTGCATGCTATACAGACGTTCAGGAAGGTTAGATTAGTCTAAATGTGGCAGACATACAGATGCTCACTGCATCAGATCTATGATCAAACAATTTACTTTAAGCTGTGTGATTGTAGATCAGGAGCAGCTTTTGTGCATGTTCAATGGTGCTGGGAGCTGCACCAGGAACATGGTAAGCAACTTGGGATGTGGGAGAGGGCAGGTGGGATCAGGGGGGCTAGCAAGTTTGAAGGAATCAGGGAGGTGATTATTCATCTAGGGTTGAGAGGTTAAAAAAAAAACTCAGTCAGGATCAGAAAGATAGGAGAAGTGCAGCCTCGGGGCTGGGGCATAGGTGGTAGAAGGTGGGGATAACAGGGTGTTGCCTCCCCCGAAACGTGGTGCAGTGGTAGGGCCACAAGGCAGCCTGGCCGCAGGCTTCCGGCAGCTGCAGCAGGGGTGGGGAGGGGTGCACACGTAGCGGTGAGAGGAGGGGGCTTGAGGCTGGGGCTGGGGGAGGGACAGGTGCTGCACAGCCAGATCGGGGTATGGGGCTGAGCCACGAGCAGCTTGTCCAGGGGGCACAGCTCCTGCTTTTACACACACCCTGGGAGGCATGAGGGCGTGTGTCCCGGATCTGGGCAGGGCAGGGCAGGCTGCTGCTGTGGGCTGGGGTCGAGGTTGTGCCAGGCTCTTCCAAATGAGGGCTGGGCTGTGCTGGGCTGCGCTTGGGGCAGATGGCAGCAGCACTGGGAGTGGGGCTACAGAGGGGGAACGCTGCATCCCTCCCAAAATTCACTGTTTCCCTCCCAACCTCCCCTCCTAGCATCACCACCACATGCCCTGAGCACAGCTTGGCCCAGCCCCAGCCCGCCCGCCCCACACAGATCTGGGGGCACCCCCCCCCACATGGCCTCCTGGGGCTCATGCAGAGGTGGAAGCTGCCACCCCCTCCCCACACCCCAGGACAAGCTACTTGCAGCTCCACCCCATGCTCTGCCTGGGCTGGGCAGTGCCAGCCCCAGTCCCACTCCTGCCCCATGGCCCTTTCCCCTCCCCTGCCCCTTCCACCACAGACTTACCTGCTGGGGGGAGGGGTGCACACACATACACGCATATGCGCTCAGCCCCCCGCAAATAATTTTTTCTCCCTCCACCTATGGGCTGGGACAAGCAGCTACTCTTTTCCTAGCTTTGGTGCTGTGCTCCAAACTGGACTGGACTAACCCATTTCCGATTTAATTTAGATTAGGAATTCCTCAAGTGAACTACAGGCAGTCCTTGGACTTATGACACAATTGGTTCCTGAAAACCACGTCTTAAACCGAAATGTCGTAACTCAGAACCAATTTTCTCATAAGAAACAATGTTATAAATGGGGGATTGGTTCCTGAACCAATGCCCGATACCCTGTTTTCACCAAAAGTACCCCAGAATTTTGTACTTGATCAATTATAGATGAGTAATATAGCTACATTAATGTATTTATATTGTAAATAGCAATCATTAATTTGAAAGTACATCTTTGAGGTGACTTTGCTGGACTTTTTGAAAGGCTCTTGGTTGGACTTTTTGAAGGGTTCTTGGCTGCAGTCTTCTCAGGAGTCTTGGCTGCAGGTTTTTCTGGAGCTTGTCTGCTTTCTTAAAGAAAGTGTTCAAGGAAGTTTGGACAGATGTTCTCCAGGGAGATGAGCGATGCAGCAAACTTGTTTGCTGGCATGGTGTCACATCAGATCAAGCGTTGTAAAGTCGAAACTGGCATTGTAAAGTTGAAAGTGGGTGTCAATTTATAAATGTTGTAAGTGCGAAATGTAACTTGAAACGTTGTAAGTCAAGGACTGCCTGTAATTTAGATTGGTCCCACCATTTTTTTCCTGGTTTAACCTCCCTGAACATCTGCACATCCCCAAACAGCACTTAGATTGACCTAACCTGATTAAATTATGTAAGCACCAAGTTAGGTTAAAGTTGTGCAAGTCCCATGAGGCCATGCAAAATAGATGCACGCTGTCTGGGGTGGTGCTGGAAGGTTGGTCAGATCCACATGCACTCTGAAGACTTGTTTTGAACAGCTGCTTGAATTGGAGCAGAGTCCTGCTTATAAGCTCCCTCTTCCAATTTATGTTGTCCTTCCCCCTACTAAGATCATGGAGGTGGCATCTTATTCTGATAAACAATGAGAATATTATCTGCCTTGCCAGGGAACTCTGTGTGGGGACTCTTTTTCACTGATGCATGGACTGATCTTCAGACTGATGGTTCATGTTACCATTATCACCACCTAGAAGTATCATTCTGGAATGCTATATTGGTCCATACTTGACCATTCAGTCTTTCTGGATGGTTGCACTGCTGTGCTAGGTTTCACTTACCAATGCCTGAATGCACAGCAGCCAGCTGCAGTGGAACCACAAACTGCTCCTAGGAAGAGTTCCTTCATGATTTGCATTTTTTGCATAACTTAAGTTCCAGCCCATTGTGCTACAGGATTGTACAAGATACCATATCCCAAACACTGTTAAGGATATAATTTATCCTGGTTGTGCAGTAATTTAAAACTAAAAAAAAAAAGAAGATTCCCAGCAACTGAGTTCTTCAGTCTAGGGGCTTAATCAGTATCATATAGATATTGAAAGGATTCAACAGAAGGGGATATGTGAGAGTGAGAATAACTGCAATTTGCTAAATTTCCTTAAATTACATAGATAACTCATGCTTTTGTGATTAACTCTACAGGTGTAATTACATAAGCTTTCAAAGGGTATGAACTTTCCTACAACTTGCATCTCATGCACAGATTGAATTCTGCTCAAAACATTTTCTGTTAAATTGTGAAATCTGTTCCATAAATATGCTATATAATATATAGTTGACATATAATCTTTGAGCTATTAAGGCCAAAAGCCATTGGGTTCTGTGAGCAAACATTGATCTTCAGAGGCAGGCTATGTAGATAAATGGATTAATTTCCTAAGCAACAGGAATAAGCCTGTTTGCAATTCTGGAACAGTGTGTCACAATTTACATTTACATTAGTTTTGCTACAGCAGGTTGAATTATTGTAGATACCATTTTTGATTTCTTAAGATAAGTGCCTTGTGCTTCAGGCCCTCTGAAAATTTCTAGGAAATTCCTCATAATATGTAGTATAATACAGTAAAAGCAGTGTTAACCGGCATTTAAGTAACCAGAACACTCTATTAACCGGAAGTGCTAGCCAGCCAGCAGGGAAAGGGGGAGGGACCTCGCATGCAGTGGGGAAAGCTCACCGCTGCCGCCACTCCGCATGCCACCCCGCCCCTCCCCCACTCCACGAGCAGCCGCCTCCACTCCCTCCCCACCCTCTGCTTCACATCCAGCCAAAAACCCCCTACCCTCGGGTAACCAGAATTTTTATATAACCAGCACCCCCTCTTACCCCACTCATGACAGATAACAAAGCATTTAGTGTACATGTCTTGGAAATATAAATTCAACCCTAGAAAGCATTTAGTCATCAAACATATTTTGATAAAAATTCATGTTCCAGTTACTTTAAGCCATAGCTCAAATGTAGTCTAACCAACTTTTATGCATATGCATGCATCCAGCATTCTGTGGATATGAAATATGGCATGGACTACTTAGTTACTGATTGTTTCTTAGTGTTAAATCTCTACCATGATAGGAAATTGATTTTGCAGCTAAGAACTATACCAGCTGAGAGATAAATGGGATATAATTTGCCTGAATGAAAACAAGCAAAATAATGGCAAAGTAAATGTAATTTTTTTTCTGTGTGTGTGTGTTTTTGGTTTTTTTTTGGTTTTGTTTTTTTGGTTTTGTTTTTTTTTTTGTTTTTTTTTTTGCAGGAGGCAATAAGCTTAAGGGTCAGCATTTTCGATTGAACTGGGCCTGGATCTCCCTAGAGAGAGAATATTACTTGGTAAATGAAGACTCAAAATATCTAGATGTCATTCTTAAACGGAGAGGTTACTTGGGAGAAACTTCATTTATTAGTAAGTTCCATTCCTATATATACTACTTCTGAACCATTGGTCAGCAGATTAGTAAAATGTATCATAGCTACATATGTTAACCTGGAAATATTTAACACCAGCCAACTAGATACTGTGATATGAGAATTCATTAGAAAAAGAGCTCTTTTATTAAAACAAATGCATGGTTCATTTGAATTAAGGCACAGAATCAAATAAGTAATCAATTCCTGATAGTTTTCTTTTCCATTCTAACCAGTAATCAATATTTTTTAGGTATTTCCTTTGTAACGGTAATCCCTTTGCATCTTTCATCTTCACATTTTCTAGTGTCTGCTGCAATTCGTTCTTTGATTTTTAACTCCCTTGGCCCATTCCTTCCTTTTTGGGCTTAATGTTAAAATTTCAGTAGCTTCAAGAGGTAAAGGTGACATTTTTTTAATCATTAAAAGTTTACTTTTAATTTAAGACAAATTGTATCTGATCATTTGAAAATTATAGATACTTGCAGTACAAAATTATGTGCAACAATAATGGTCCTTTTCAGGCAGGCACCAGAGCTAGAACTTCCTTGTAAAATACAGTTACAAGGAAGTGGTCAGTGAAAGCATGTCAGTGAGAGCTGATGTGTATTTAGGAGTTGAAATGCTCTGTGGGTGTGAGAAGAGACTATTACTTGATAAAAACTATTTATTTATTAATTGTAGACCATATTCTGCTGTCTGCTTCACTTCTATAAATTCAGAATGACTCTCTAGCATTCAAAGAAATTACAACTGGTGTAATTCAGGTCACAATTCAAAATGCCATTACTAATAAAATTGTTTTATTAACTTGTGTGAGAATGAATGGACATTTCCGATTTATAGAATAGAATAGCTATGATTAGATGGTGCAGTTGATTACTGTACTAATTATTCTCTGTTGAAAACCAACATTTAAAGCTTTTCTGGGTTTCCAAGGAAGGGAAATGATGCTTTTAATCCTAGTTCTTCATTTCTTCTTCTTGTGAAATCACCTAAGTGTCTGACATGGTTAACGTGATTGAAACAACTAACTCAACAAACTTCCTGGAGTGGAATAACAGGGAGTTATACCAAGTCATAACTGAAATCCTGTAACAGAGCTATGTTACAAAGCATAGCCAGCCAGTTACACAAGGTCTTTTCTAAGCCTGTTCCTCATTTGAGTGGAATCTAAATTTATCCATAAAGCAGATCACCCAGGCATGCTCATTGAATATAGCCATATCTGTTGGGACCAGCAAACAGTGTTTTGAGGTTCAGAGACAACAGCATATTCATATACTCTCCAAAATTATGTAATTCTCATGAAATTACCAACAAATAGTTAAATCATGGATCTCACAGCAGCATTCTGGGTCCTATATCTCCAAAAGAGAAGGATAGGCCAAACAGTGGAACAACTAGAACAATCCGTTGCTACAAATATGGACATTTCATAGCTGAGGGGAAATTGAAGCTTTTAGTGAAAAACGAAAGCTTTTTGGAAATAAAGTTCTTCCCCTGGTCCTATACTTTAGATTTTTACTAAATGGAAGAGAAATTAGACTATCTAGTGATTTAATTAATAGAACAGGGGTCAGCATTCTACAGCCTACAGACTGGATCCAGCCTGCAGAACCTTTGGATTAGGCCCACAGATGTAGAGCTTCAGCAGTATTCAGCGGTGGGAGGCACCTTCTGCAGGCATACATTCTGTGCTGCTGCAGGGACAAATGCTGATTGTCGGCCCTTTCCCTAGGCCACCAAGAGCGATCCTAGCTCTGCCTGCCTCCAACCCAGGGTGAGTCATTCCAGCCCACAACTGGAAAAGGTTACCTACCCCTGCAATAGAATGAATAGTAATCTGTAATAACATTCATTATATTCATTAGGATGCAGATTTCAGAAATAAAAACCAAGAAGAAATTGAATTCTTGCCCCAACTAAATCTGAAAAAAGCACTGATTCTTTGTCTGCAGTGTTAAGAATTACTTTAATTAAGAGTGTAAACCTAAAGTAGGATGTCACCTTTGCACTTCTTTTGTGGAACGCAGTCCCTGTCATTGCATTATTTTTTCATAATTAGAAAATATGCAGACAGCAAATGTGAAGACGAGCATCAAAACACATCCTTTGCCAGCCAGACAACTGTGAACTGATCTAATTGAGCAGTGACCAGCATGTGTATTAGAAATCTCAGTGAGGAGGCTCATTTTCTTTAGTAGTGTTGGCAGTCAGTTGAGTTTGATCCAAGAGGTGTTGAAAACTATTCACAGTGCAGGAAGAGTGAGAAGGCAAAAAAGGATGTGCTATCACATTCTTGTAGCCTCACACATATCTCTAGCTTCTGGATGTTTTCTTATTGTTCTCTGTGCATCGGTAGTAGGGATATATTTGGACCCAAAGCATTAATCTTTCACAGGTTTATGTCAAAGAACAGGAGCAACTTAAACTAATCAGAAAAACAGTTTAAGCCCCTGATTCAGCCAGGTACATAACCATGTACCTGACTTGAAGCACCAGCAGTGCAGATGAAGGGCTTTAAGATTGCCATATAATTTAATGCCCTTGCTGAATCAGAATCCAAGTCATTCTGTGTTCTGACTATTAATTAATTTGGCTAGATGCTTTATTTATTCTTTCAAAGAATAAACCTCCCAACAGAAAATACTTGAAAAGGTTATAATAATGATTCACAAATTACAGTTCTTAATTGGTTTAAATTAAGTGCTGAGCTTGATTAAAAGGTAGGTTATTCAAGGAAGTAAACAGATTTGGCACCTGACCAAATGTCACATTATTGCTAAATGTTCTATATATGTGAAGTGGACCAGTTCAGTATCTAAATACATCTGACCCTGATTCCATCAAGAAACTGTTTTGGAGACTGACATGTAGTTTGATTAACTTACACCTGACTGACTAACTTAATCCTACTGAGTGCAATTCCAGAATTGGAAAAGAACTCAAGTGTTCTTGCAGAGTTAGATTTTCATCACCCTCTTTGGTCTGTGCACATAAACAGAAGGACTGCTATGCCTTAAAAAGGCTCTAGGAGCCCCAGATCTTCTTATTAATTATTATTATTCATTTGATTTATATGCCACCTTTCCCAACAATTTCTCAGGATTTAACTGGGGGAAGAAGGAGGATTGGAAGATATAAGACAGACAGAGATGCAAGCTGTATTTTGAGGATTTCCTGACAAACCTCAACATAAGTTCCAAGGGTAACAGTGGGCAAGGTTGTGTGTTGGAGATGGCTCTCAAGAGCTGTCTACTTGGCACCAGAAGCCCATGAGCCACCTGCAATTCAAGAAAATCCAAGACTGGCTAATAGCCACATAAGACTCCTGGGGCACATCTACACATGAAATTATTTTGATGCAAAAACTCTGGTGCAGCTTGCACCAGTATTTATTGCTCTTGGGTGCAGCTTTCACACGTGTGCCTAGGGCCACAGCACAGTAAGTCAAGCAGAGCATCCCTGGCTGGCAGGGGGCCCAGGGTTCAGCCTGCCAGCGCAGGGCTGCTCTAACCCAACTTAATGTGCTGTGGAAGGGCTGGCTGGGGCGCAAGGGCTCTAGCTGGCAGGCAGCCCCACACTGGAGCATCCTTGTGCCCTAGCCAGCCCCAGTCAGTGTCTACATGTGTGTTGTGGTGGAGTAAATAACTCTTTCATAGGATAGTACTTGTGTTGGGCAGTACTATCCTACAGCAGAGTTAATTTGTTTATTCCAGCCGAATAGCACCTTGCATGTAAACACCAACACTTTACTGCAGAGCTAATTAGTCAGCCCTGGCACCTCTAGTTCCCTAGGCTAGAACACTGAATTTCATCCCTTGACTTTGTCAACTAAACTGAATTATGGATATTGTTAGAATCATGGAGGTGACCATTACATAAAGGTTCCAACAAGAAGATGAGTCGCCAAAAGCATAGTTACTTTAGTGTGAGTAACTGAGGTTCAGGCTTTATATTTGTGTTCATCCTTATTCACGGTATCCATAGTCACTTGAAGCTTTCCCAAACTTCCACTTTGCAGGCTGAAATTTTCCAAGCTAAGTCTCTCTTTGAGCATGGTAAGTACATTCTGGAAATTTCAGGAGAAAATATGTGAATGTTTTTGAGAAGATAATAACAGAAAAAACAAAACCCTTTAGTTTTTTGGTATATTGATACCTGAAATCTCTTGACGAAGAGATCTGACATTTGGTATAGATAGTGTTTGACCTTTTCAGTAATTAGTTTTGATCTGATTGACTATCCAATCTTGTACTACACAGAGGGTTTGGTTAATCTGAGTTCACCTGATGTTGATGGCACCAATACAAATTCTGTTAAAGAGTAACAGGTTGAGTTTGGGCAGCTTCTATGCATTCTTAAAAATTAATATAATAGCCGAATCTCTCTAATACACATTTTTAGTTGAGTAAAGGGGAATATATTTTCTGAACCCATATTGTTTAAAGCCTGATCAGTAATGAGAGAAAAATACAATTGCTTTGTTTGTAATGGCCCTGTTTTCTCTTCTCTTTTTTGTTTTTGACAGGCATTAGCACTAGAGATGGTACAGCTGAGAAAGATAAGGACTTTAAAGGAAAAGCACAGAAGCAAGTGCAGTTCAATCCTGGCCAAACCTTAGCTACATGGAGGGTGCGGATTTTGAGTGATGGTGAACATGAGCAATCAGAGACCTTTCAAATTGTGCTTTCTGAGCCAGTCATGGCTGTTCTAGAGTTTCCTGAAGTGGCTACAGTGGAGGTGATTGACCCGGGAGATGGTAAGAACACTTTACTAGTTTTATTCTTAATCTGTATACCTGTCTTCAGAGGAAACTCTATAGCAGAGTAATCCATAAAAATGCCTGATAAATGTACTTCATTAAAATCTTTAGTTGGAAAACAGGTTTAGGCATCACTTGATGGTTTTTCATTGATCATATTCAGTTGACTGGTGGCCCATGGGAACTCTAAGATGGTATGTTTCTATACATAGATTTTTTTTTCCCTTTCTTTGCCAGTATTTATTACTTATCAGTTGTTTTACATTAGACTGAATAGATTGTTGAGCCTCTTTTGAAGATAATAATCTTCCTAAGCCTTTTGGTGACCCTTTTACAATGAAAAACCATTCTGTCACTAGAACTTACTTTACATGGTAGTAAACATCTGCCCACTCTGTAAGGCAAGTGTGATATCATATGATACAATGATGTAATTAATAGAAGGCACAAATTAAATCAATTTAGAAAAGTAGAGAATAAACTTTTCTCATTTTAAAATCTGTAATCTTACGATTCTTTCTCATATATTAAACATGGAAATAATTTATAGTGAAACTGTTTCCTCGAAAGGAAAGCTTAGAAACCAGTTTTGTTACTGAAAAATGGAACAGTAATCACTTCTTATTTCATGAACTGCATGCTTGACTCTCCCGAATCATTCTGATTAGTTCAAAAAGCATCTCCTGTTCCCTCTAAAAATATTTCCAACTAACACAAGCTATTTAGAACATAGTTAATGTTTCCTACTCTATTTTAGAAAACTATTTTAAGTTTTATGACTGGTTTCAACTGACATGTTAAGCTACCTAGTACTAGTGCAGCATAATAATTATTAATTATCTTTATTAAACATTGCAGGACATAATTGAAACAGATTCTAGCTGATGCTGTTGTCTCAGCATGGAGCCTTGGACAGTTCTGCAGCCACTGCTGCTTTGACAAACACTCTCTCTCAGAAACTGCCTTTGCTTTCTGAATTTTAGCAAACATGTAGACTAGTATTCCCGTGGGAGTTGGAAATACTTGCCTCTACAGTTGGCTGACAGTTTAAGAGATCTGCTACACTACATGGGCCAAACCAAGGCTTTGAGATTAAGGCTCTAGGACAAAGGATACTGTCTTGACACCTTTCTGCTTCCTCCCATGTGCAAACACAAATGGAGTAAGAAGTCGCCTTAGCAGTGCCTCCAAAAATAGAGATGAGATCCTGCGCCAGTTCCTCTTGCCTCCTATCTCCAAGGCTAGGGAGAAAGACTACACATAAACTGGTATAAGTGATTGGAAGTAGGTTCATATCTGTAACACAACAGAAGTTCAGTGCATGTAAACCATTTTCAAAATGTCCAAAACTGGTTTAAGATAAATCTGTATGGATGTAGTATCAGATTTAACTGATTTTAGGTTAAATCAGTTTATTGAACTTCTGTCCCAGATCCCCTCCAGATTCAAATTAACTCACAGTTCCCCAGTATCTCAGGATACTTTGCACCTTCCCTTAAAACTCCTTCTCGCATGGTGGGTGGGCAAGGTTTGGCCCAAGCTGTCTGTTCCAGCCGAGCAGGGAGGCATGCTCTAGTGCCCCCCAGGTTCTGGTCTGGGCCTCTGCACACATGTTGCTGCATTTTCAGAATCAAAAGTGAATGTCTCTTCATTTGCTTAGACTAACCTGCAAAGATTGAATTGATTCAGCCTCAGGCTTTTTGCCTGTCAGTAATTAGCCCAGGTTTGCTGCCCCCAAGTGAGAGAAATGGCAACTTATGCATATATAGCTGATTTATGTTCTGGCTCAGTTTCTCAGCTGAAGTGTCAGGAACAGCTGAAACAACAGTAGAATGAAGGTGAGGAGTAACAGCATAGTTAACATTGAGAAGTTTGGCTTTTGAACTGAATCCAGGCACCTGAAGCAATGGGCCATGGTCACACAAAGATGTTAAGTAATCTTAAAAGAAACTCAAGACTGCAATAGCTTGTTCTGTATAATCCTTTTTGAATTAAGAGGTGAAGGTATGCTGACCAGGAAAAATGTGTCAAACAGATTTTCACTTGCTAGTTACTAGAGGTACATCGATATATTGATTGCATATTGGATCAGCACCAATAAAAGGAAAATTAACATTATCGGCAATTGGCTTTTTTGGCTAGCATAGCTGATAATGTTGCTGATAAGTGCCACATGCATGCATGCAGCCACAATGAGCTTGGAGAGCCACCTTCTGCCAGTAAGTCTGTGGGGGGGAAGGGGCATGGGGGAGGGAAGGGATGTGGAGGGGTGCAGATCGAGGCCCCCATGGTGAGGGAGGGAGTGGGGTAGGGGCAGGCGCTGCCCAGCCAGGGCCGTGAATGCAACCCCGGGAGTGGGACAGAGCCGTGAGTAGCTCTTGCGGAGGGGCAGGGAGGAGGGGCAGCTCCCCACTTCTGTGTGCACCCCCGAGGGTGCACACAGAAGTGCCCTCCAGATTTTTGTGCAGGGCTAGGACAGGCTGCCTGCTGCAGGCTTGGGGTCAGGGGCTGCACCAGCCTCTTCCTGGTGGGGATGCTGGGCTCTGAGCGGGCAGGGGTGGGGCAGGCAGTGGTGGCGCTGGGAAGGGTGGCTATAGGGTGAGTTATAGCCACTCCAAAATTCCCCATAGCCACCCCACCCAGCACCACTGCCATCCACCCCACCTCCACCTGCCCCAAGCACAGCCCTGGGCCAGCCCCCCCAGCAGGAAGAGTCCGGCACAGCAGCTGGCCCTGAGCCCGTAGCAGGCAACCTGCCCTCTCCCTGTGCACATGCCCCCCCCATACCTCCCCCAGGTTACACATAGCAGTGGGCAGCTGCCCGCTCCCTCGTACCCCCTGGACAAGCCACCCACAGGCTCCGTCCCTCACCATGGGTACCTCAATCTGCACCCCTTACACCCCTCCCCTCCCCCACACCCCTTCCCCTCCGTAGATTTACCAGCAGGAGGCTGCTCTCCAGGCTGCCCAGCTGCATTCCTGTAAATCAGCTATCAGATTGATTTTGGCCACTATGGCTGGCTAATAATAGGCCATCGGTATCGGCCAAAAAAATCTTTATTGGTGCACCCCGACTAGTTACATATTTAAAATGTATTTAATACGTCAAACCAAGAGATTATCTTGAATTCTTATTTACTGATAGAGGATAACACTAAGTGTAGATTAAGTTCAAAATTGAATAGAGTATGTGAGGCCCTTGTAAATGCAAGTCTTACTACCCTCAATTGGAGGGCTACCATAAATCAAGGTACTATGGTAATTAATAATGGTCCTAGAAGTTGCCGTATCCTGTTGGTCTTCATTAACAAGAGAATCATATGTAAAATGTAGAGGTGATTATTTTGTTCTGCTTTGAGTATTGCATTCAGTTCTGAGCACTGTATTTCCAAGCAAGATGGTGATAAATTTTGGAGAATCCAGAGAGAAACAAGGAAGATAAAAGTTATAGAATAAATTACCTCTGAGACAAGGCTCAGAGAATGTGTTTCTTTACTCAAAAAAGCAGATAATTGAAGTAAGATATGATAACAACATTGTTGCTTCCTACACTTAATTTCTCATATTATTTTAATGTTATAGTCAGGTACTATAAATGCAACTGCAAAATTAGCAAAACATTGTTCTCTAACATTTTTATACAGGGAATATTTGTCTGTGGTACTCATTTAATTTTAAAGTGAAAAAGGAAGAAAGCTTTAAAAAGTTTACTGCAGTTTTACTTGAAAATAAACACCTTTCCTTTTCTCTCTGTATTACATTTTTCTCCTTCTGAAATGGTGACAAATTATTGAACTTATCAAACCAGAATAATAGCATTTTTTTTAAAACCATCTTTTGACCCTAAGTCATGGCAGCAGTACTTTCCAGCTGTAGAAATAATAACCATGGCACATCCTTTCAAGAAAATCATGTATACTTGCTGGATTTTGTTTGCAAAGCATTGTAAAACAACCATATGGTTTATTTTGTATAGTCATATCATATATTTATTTTACACAATTCTTTTCTATATTAAAGTAGCTTTGATTGAATTCAGATATTGCTGTGGAAATTTTAAAGATACCCTATTTTTGTTTCCATAGCTAATGATTTCCTTAAATTTTTAAGGGCATAAGAAAATAGAAGTTGACATTCGAAGACACCATAAAAGTAATTGGTCTGCTTATGTGAATATAGAATAACTGAAAGTTTTGTTTGATGTTTTTCAGATTTTATTGACATTGTCTGAAAAATAGAATCAGACAGTTTTGCACCTAACTTCTTTCATAGTTCATAAAAAGAAATAGCTAGCTTTAATTAACAGAAGATCCATTCTCAGCCAAAAGAGCAAAACTGGCTTTGAGAAAAGAGATGCTTGTAGCACTTGTTGAGATAAGAAAACTAAATTCCAGAGAACATGAAAGAGAAGGTGATTTTTCCCCCTCCTGAAAAGCTAAAGAGAGAATCAACCTGGCCAAATCATGCACATTTTAGGGAATTTTCTATGATATCAGAATAGTGGTTCGTTTTTTTTTGTTTTTTGTTTTTTTTTTTAAGAATCTTTTTTGGTTACACTGTTGCAGATTTATTCAAAGGAAGAGTGAAGTTGGGAATTGCTCTATAGCTGCTAAATCCATAATTACAATACATGAATTTATTTATATTATTGCAGTGGGTTGGAGCTATAGTTATGAACCACGACCCCATTTTTTCAGTGCTTTAAAAATACAAAATACACAGATACTTTCCCCCAAAGATAATACTTCATATAACGTAGGATAAAAGTAAGTGCCCCATATACCTAACAGCTCAATAATCTGAATGAATTCAGCATCTGCACTAGTGAATTTTTTGTGACTAGCAGCCAGTAATACCAGTGTGAAAAATACTGGAATAACTTGGACGGAATTCTGGGTGGAATTCTGGATATGTACCTGGGAACCAATCCTGCAAACTCCCACTTACATTGTTAATGCTGAATCCATAAATTAGTCCCATAGACTAGGTACAGACATTCAAAAAGCCCTTGGCAGAATTGACCTAAGTTACGTGGTTTTCTATAAGCAGCGCATTTTAGATTGGTAGTGAACAGAAAACACATTTGCCCTTAGGGGCAGGGGAAAATCTAGACCAGGTTCTGCCATTTTTAATCCAGTCTGTGTGCAACAAACTTCTGTTCTGTTATGGGTATAGACTGGTTTCCGATCACTTCTGCCAGTAAAAGTGTAATGTCTGTACCTGGCTACTTAGTATTCGTATGAGCTTGCAAGCTCAGGCTTTATTTCTTGTTTTCTTGTCCCTTTTTTGGTTGTGAAAAAAATAGTATTCTAACATTTCACTGTACCATTAATAAATTGGATTGATTTGTTATATTGAGATGCTTTCTGAATAAAGAAGGACTTCTAGCTATTTCATATATGACTTTCTCTGGACACAAAGCAACCTAAATAAATGCATCTAATTTCTGTAGAATCAACTGTCTTTATACCTCAGTCAGTCTACACCATTGAAGAAGATATTGGTGAACTGTTCATTCCAGTCAGAAGAAGTGGAGACGTTAGCCAGGAATTAATGGTTATCTGCTATACCCAGCAAGGTAATAGTGTCTCAGTTAAGTGAAAATAATAACCAAGTCCAAGTAATGTATTTTATTTCCAGAATATATAGATAATTTTAGTAATAATAATAATTTTGCCTATAAACCATCAATATCAACTGGGAGTATATCCTTCTTCATATTTTATCCTTAGTTAGTGTATTAGTTGTTTAATTTGCAGTCTGTTGACATTCCCAACTGTTGCAGTGCCTCAAAGTCATTCTAGTTTCAGTGCCCTGGTGAAAGTGTTCTCTTGATTGTGCTCCTTGGTCAGATTGTATCTCTTGTGAGATAACAGTTTCTTCACTGGCTAAAGTATCAGAGGAACCTCATGGGAGTATAAGGGTGTGTCCATGATGGAAGGTATAGTTTTGCTGGGGAGCCCAGCCATTAGGAAAGAATGTAAGCATGAGTCACCTGAAGTGCAGCACTCAGCAGGCAATGGCGCAGGTCCATTTGGAATCAAGCTGTAATAAAATAGTTTGATTTAGGAATCGCATATTTTGCTTTGCTCAAAACAGAATGTTTTGACCTTTTCAAATGATTTTCTTTAACTTTTCATTTTATAGAAAGTTTTGATATTTCTAAATTTTATCATGCATTGAAATGAAAACTAATATTGAAATAGCAGGGCTTCCTGTATGATGGAAATTTTGATCGCAGAAAACAGTGTGTTTAAAACACTTTTGTTTGTATAATGGCTTATTTTTACAGAAAACATTTTGTGTGTTTTGAAGACTTATATATAATAGTTTCAGAGCAGTTCCAAGGATTCTTGTGTGCATGGTTAAATGGTTAAACATAGTGTTCATCTCTTTAAGAACACTTGCTCATGGGTAATTTCTTATCTGAAAATACTAAAAAGGGATGAAGAGACAATACACATGTCTTTGGGAATAAAATCAAAGTAAAATTGTCTGCAAAAGTAATAACTGGGGAGAATTAATTTAGTGATATTTCACCTGAACTTTGCAGCATTTTCACACAAGATAAATTATTTCCTTTAGTGAATACAATTAAAAAGTTCTCATTTTTCTGTCTTGCTTGTTTGCCATCAAGACCTAGATGAAAGCTAAGGTATGAAACTGGCAGAACAGACAGAGTCCAAATGAGTTCCCCCACAGAGCAAAAGTTAAGACTGCTTTCTCTCACACAACTTGCTCCACTTCTAAAATGTTTATCTGAGGAAAGAGAACATCTGTTTGAAGTTGGTCAACTTGTTATCCTGTTAAGAATTGTTTTAGAATTGTAAGTCATAACAGCAGTAACAGAATACTGGATACTTTAAAAAGAGTTTCGGAAGAGATAACAACCCTTGTGGTTCAAGGCAACAGATTACTTGTGGCAATATTGGCAGGCTTAAAAAGAAACTTTTCCTGAGGCAGGTTAGCTCATAGTTGCCTAATTCAAGTTTGTTAGGGTTTTTTAAAATGCATTTTTGTGAATCGGCTGCTACCTACATCTCTTGGGAACAGGATATTGGAAAAGATAAATGTACCTCCAGTCTGTTCCAGAGTGGGAACTTGTATTGGAATTTTGTATATGCACTCTGCAAGGGATACATCTATAAAACTAAAAATAAATATAAATACAAATTTAAAGAAAATGAGAGGATTCTCTGATATATTCTATAAAAAATTTACGTAAATGATAATTATTTCCTTTTATCTCACAGGCACAGCAACTGGTACTGTTCCAACATCTGTGCTGTCCTACTCTGACTACATATCCAGGCCTGAGGACCATAACAGCATTATACGGTTTGACAAGGATGAAAGGGAGAAAATGTGTCGTATTGTCATCATAGACGATTCCTTGTATGAAGAGGCTGAGACATTTGATGTTCTTCTGAGCATGCCAATGGGTGGAAGAATTGGTTCAGAATTCCCAGGAACTCAGATTACAATCGTGCCTGACAAAGATGATGGTAAGACATAACTTAGTATGCAGGACAGAAATTACTTTTAATATACAAAGTCCTGACATAAGAGTCTTCAGAAGTAATCATAGAGCCATTATTATTTTTTAAATGGGAAGAATTGCTATTTTAAACTACTTTTTTTGTATGACAAAAATGGTGTCCATATCTTTATCTGTGTGCCTTTTGACATTTTTGTCAATTCAGGAGCTCTTGGCTGTCAGAGACATTACCAGGAATTACTACGTGGAAGTGGCTCTTGTCGATCCCCCTTTTAAACTTAAAGAATATGAAGAAATTTCCAAAAGAGCAATCCTCCAGAACGCAAAAGAATATTTCAGTCATAGAGAATGAATCCCAAGTCCCCTGGAGCTTAGAGCAGAATTTGCTCTGAGCTCCAGGGGAATTTTATATTTCCATTCTTCTAAATTAAAAAGTAGATAGTGGATGTATTCTGGGATGTCAAACTGAAGGAGAGCCAGTGAACTCTAATATCAGTGTTTCTAAGACTTTTAAATAATCAGAATTAGATTAATTTTGCCACTTGGTAGTCCAAAAGGGTCTAATGCTGTTCTTGTTACAAAATGAGAATACAAATACATTGATAAATCAAATTTCAGAATAATGCTCATACCTTGTAACCAAGTCCTCAGGAATTTGGTTTAAAAACAAAGTGACCCAGGGCTCTTACGTACTACTTTGAAAGATGAAGAAACATTGAAGATCAGCTAAAGATCTTGTTCCTGAGGCCAGGTCCCATCATAACCATGGAGAATGAGCAGAAGAAGTAACACAGTTCAAGGCTCTATCATCTTTTGTGCATTTTCTATTCCAGGGTGGAGAGCACCTGGTGCTGCCACTACTTGTCCTGCTGCCAGATTTCGTGACCTGTGGGAAACCCCATGAGCTAAATGTCATAGCTCTATGTGCCAGATCTGGTGTGCAGGCTGTCACTTTGCTCCTGATCTAGTCCAATCCTTTGCTTGAGGCAGAATCATCCCTCTCTAAATTATTCTAAACAAGTGTCTTTGTAACCTACTCTTAAAAACTTCCAAGGATGGCATTTCCACAACCTCTCTAGGTATCTTGTTTTAGTGCTTAACCACCCTCATAGCAAGAAAGTTCTTCATAATATCAAACTTAAATTTCTTTTGCTGCAGTTCAAGACTGTTATTCCTTGCTGTGTCTCTTACAGCTACAGAGAATAGTCTCATGTCAAGTCAACTCTGGGAGCAGAAATAGAAAAGATACCCAGGTAAAATGACCCTGGCTGCTGGCCTCTAAGAGACTGTTTTCTGAACTCCGGGGGACTTAGGGCCCATTTTCCATGACTGAAAAATCCTTTTGCACTGTGGAGGATTGTTCTGTTGGAAATTCGATGCAGACAACATTGTAGAGATTTTTAGCCTCTGGTAGCATGTTTTGTGCTGTTCAGCAGTGATCTGGCCCAACGTTATGCTGGTAATGTCTCAAAGAGATTGGTATGAAATAAAAATATCATTACCACATAGTATAGTATATGTTCTGCATAAAGCTGATCTCCAGATAGTCATCATGGGAACAGAAGTTTTTTGGTAGTTAATGATCTGTTTAAAAGCTGGAAATTGACACCTTCTGTAATTGCACCATGAGCACCCAGTCTGTCTGAAATTTCTCATATGCAACCCTGTGACAGTGATGACTTTGTTTTCTGTGTAGAAGGTATAGGTACTCAAATGCAACTTTCGTGAGATATGACAGTTTGAAATATCCCATATTACACCTCTTGTCAAGTTTCCCAGAGTTTATCAGTCTTATCATATTTCAAACATCACCTGACATAGAAACTTCATATTTAGCTTACTTTACTGGTGTTATTGAATAGTTTTGTAGTTCCTGGTGAGTTTGGGGCAGTTTTGCTTAGTTTACAGGCTTCACAAGGAATGTGTAACAGCATAAAATACTGAGAGCTGTGTTCTTATTAAAATCTGCACCTGTAGCTTAACAAGGGGTGGGCAAGTGCAGCACCAGCCCCTAGAAGAATGGCAGACTCTCAGGAAATCTGTGCCTTGGCAAAGCAACAGCCCCATGCTGCTGGTATAGCAACAGCTGGGCTAGATAGACTTCTGCATACCAGCAGCAGCCAAAGACTTTGAGTCCCCAGGGCAGGTAAGATTCTCTCCATCTCCCTTCCCCCTGGCTAGGGACAGACATTCAAAAAGCCTGAGCCTGAATTGATTCAATCTTTGCAGGTTACTCTAACCTGGCTAGGCTAAATCATTTTGTAACTGCACAGACATCCCAGAAATGCAGGCATGTGCCTGCAGTGGCTCAGGCTAGAAGCCAAAGGGTGCTAGAGCATCTCTCCCTTCCCTTGTACAGAGCTGAGTTGAGGGGGGCATGGGCCAGGCCGCAGCAGGGCACTATGATTAGGGAGGGGTTCCCCCCACCTTTTGGCCAGCCCAGCAGGGAATTGATAACACAGTGTCTATCACCCCTAACTCAAATGTTTATCACCCCATTAAGAAAACAACAGAGGGACATTACCAGCTATCTGTTGATTCTGTCTTTGTCCCATCTGCCACATCATAGACAGTAGCCAGCGTGTGGTCTGCTAGCTAATGCTGACAGGTGTCTGTGTAAGGCAGAGGGGAAGGGGGAATCCCTGCTTAGCAGGAGTAGGGCAGGGAGGGGAGAAGCAGAGGGAAGCCGGGCAGACACCTGCAATCTCTGCTGAGCTCCAGCCAGGGAGTGGAGGGGAGGGGCCAGCTCTGCTGTGGAGCAGAATGCTCCGCCAAGACCAGAGAGCATGCGGGGATGCTAGGGGAGTCTGGTTTAACTTAAACCAGCAAGGGGTCTGGGGCAGACATTGCATAAACTGGTTTGACCCAAATCAGTTGAGTCTAATACTACATTTAACCAGGTTTATCTCAAACTGGTTTCAGCCATTTTTAGACTGGTTTGTGTGCACTGAATATCTGTTCTGTTACAGGTTTAAACCAGTTGCTGATCACTTAAACTGCTTTATGTGTAATGTCTGCCCCTAACCCCTGGGGTCTCTGGTAGGTTTTTGCCCAGGTTACAGGCTAGTTATTTACACCTCTTATGTGCACCCAAACTAGTTGATTTACATGCACTTTAAGAAGTTATAAGGTCTTTAAAACTATATGAAAAGCCACAAGAACATATATAAAGGTTATAATCAACTGAGGGACTCCTGCTAAGGTCATAATCACTAATTTCAGTGGAATCACCACAAGATGATATAGCTCCAAGCTGTGTTACTTCTTCTGTTCATTTTCAGTGGGATCACCACTAATGCCTTTGAAGATAGATTTTGAGTGTTTTAGTGTCTAGAGCAATAGTTCTCAACCATTTTAGCCTCAAGGTACCCCCCCATTAGACTCAAGGGAAAATGCCAACTCCTAGTTTTCACTTGGTTTTTTTACTACAGAAAAAAAAGGAGTAATTCTTCTGTTATGAAGAATTAATGAGAACCAGAATGGGTCAACATGTTCTGGCACTATAGATTCTTATTTGGAATTTCAGGGTTTATTTGTGAACCATGTGTAGATGTTTGCACACCTTACATGCTAAAACTGTGCAGCACCCTGCAGCAATCTTAAAAGGATCATGGTACCCTGGTTGAGAATTACTGACCTAGAGTACGTTGTAGTCTTACAGTGAGATACAGTTCCTCATATTGTTAAGGTTAGTTGCAGTGTATGGACACATTTTATCTTCAGGTTGACATTGACTAGGTAACTAAAAAGGTTAATTGATAAAAGAGTAACAATGGCACAGGAAAAACTAACAAGTCATCTTACAAAAGGTTTAAACCAGGGATGAGATTAAAAAACAACATCCATATGCTACAATTACAGCCAAAACTATTGTACATCCTTATACCATCTGTCAGTTTGACTGCATTCATGAACATGCTTGCCCAGTCCTGCAAATACTTATTCATATGAATAATTTTGCATTCATCAGTAGTCTTCTTAGGACTATTCACATGCAAAACTGTTTAAAGGATGGGGAAGTTATATTTTAGGGTAAAATAAGTCAATCAACAGCTGCTTGTACATTAAGAAGTAAGTTGTAAGTGCAAATGTTTTATAAATAGCCCGTTTTATCTGTCACCGTCTAATATGTTGCATCTAGCATGTTAAAAAAGCTTAAAGGCTGCCTCACTGTGTACTGCTTTGTCTGCCAATGAAACAACTCCCAGAAGAAATTCCAGTGCTCTCAAAAATTTGCTGACAATTCACTTTATTACTGCACTTCTCTTATTTAGATATCATAAAAATATTAATGCACTGTAAAAGAAAAGTATGCTAGGGGGAAAGATTCCACAGTGTAGTGCATTTTGGTTTTGCATCACTTGAGAGAGAATGTTCTTTTTCTAACATTTTGTAAAGCTCCTGTAGTACACATTGAAAAGTAGCATTAAATGAGAAGTTGAATTTAAGAGGCATCAACTGTTATTGCTTGTATGTTGCATAAAACTGTTGAATTTTGCTCAATGGTTTGATTTGTTAAAAATAGCCATATGAAACATAAAATAAATACCAGTTTCATCATCTCTGTAGTATTACAGATGTAATTGAAACTACAAAATCACTCAGGTGGAAATTGAGAGAGAGGATATGCAGCATTTATAATAACAGGTGCAGAAATGCTATCTTGCTAAATCCTGACACTGGTTGTTACTTCTCATCTGCAAATCTGCAGCTATTTTGTGCTTATTGTTTGTTTGTTAAAGGGATTTGCACATAGATAATGAAGTTTCTTTGGATAAATGTGGCAGCCTGTCATTTTGTGCTGATTTCCGCAAACACTGTGACTGGATTAACATCATGAATCAATGTCTGCAGGTCATGACACACAAACAAAAAAAAGTCAGAGTTTAATAATTCTACATCAGGTCTTTTTTAAGGAACTTAAGTCAGCAATATTGCTTATGTCCACTTGCGTTCAGTGCAAGTTAATTAGGAAGCATTCATCCGCGATACCTTTAATCATTTTCT